CTAAATCACATTCCCCATGCAGCCTTTTAAAACATAGTGTATAGTGTATATTATCATAGTTGGGTATAATGACTATTGTACAGACTGCATACCCAGTATTTCATCAATCAAGGCCACATCCCTCATTCAGTATTGGAGATCAAAAATCCAGCATAAAGTGTAGATTTGTACATTTCAATAGAAAGAATATTGTAAAAACTGTATAGGTAATATTTCAACAATCTCATGTAGGTCTCAGTTGCTAAAACACATCTCTCATGTAGCTTGTGAGGACAGAAATCCACTATGAAGTGTATATTATTCACATGAAAATGGAATTGATATTCAACAGACTGACTGGGCATTTTATCAACAGTTTCCTGTAAGACTCATTTGCTAAAGCACATCCCGCATGCAGTGTTTCAGGACAGAAATCCTATATATAGTTTTTATTTTTCACATTTAAATAGAAGGAATATTCAACATGAATAGACAGGAAAAAGCATCAGAAATTCTAGGGCCCCTTACACGGCTTTGGGCTGGACTTAGTGACCCCCCGGACTCTAGGATTAGTGACCCCACCGGACGCAGGGCTAAGTGACGCACTGGACGCATGGGTTAGTGACGCGATGGACTCTGGGATTAGTGACGCAATGGACTCTGGGATTAGTGATGACGCAGGGCTGAGTGACGATGCGCTGGACACAGTGCTGAGTGACGACGCTCTGGACGCAGGGCTGAGTGACGACGCTCTGGACACAGGACTGAGTGACGACGCTCTGGACGCAGGGCTGAGTGACGACGCTCTGGACGCAGGGCTGAGTGACGACGCTCTGGACGCAGGGCTGAGTGACGACGCGCTGGACGCAGGGCTGAGTGACGACGCTCTGGACGCAGGGCTGAGTGACGACGCTAGGGCTTAGTGACGACGCGCTGGACGCAGGGCTTAGTGATGACGCACTGGACGCAGGGCTTAGTGACAATGCTGGACGCAGGGCTTAGTGACGACGTGCTGGACGCAGGGCTTAGTGACGACGTGCTGGACGCAGGACCCACCTGACAGTGACCCTGCAGAGCCCACCATAGATGCTGCACAGCCCATATGAGACTGTCTATGGTGGGCTCTGAAGGGGTCTCAGCTGGGCTGGGCTGGGCTGCACCCCCCTACCTCCCATCCAGCTCCTCTTACCTGCACCCCATGCCTCATCTCCTCTCTCGCGGAAGTGACGTCACGGCACTAACGTCACGTCATTTCCAATCAGTCACCATTCAGACGCGCAGCGCGCCCCAGCTTGTTTTGAAGACCGCTGGCCCGGCTGCCTCCTCGCCCGTCACTGTCGGCCGATACTCATGTAGGGGTCCCGGGTAGGCCCCACAGGCTGCCCGTGCCCCTTACATGAGTGTCGGCCGTACCCCCTTGATGGCGGCCCTGTGCATAGGCAGGATTTAAGCAATCTCTTGCTGGCTGTGTTTTGAAAATGACATACCTCTTGCAGTTGTGCAGCCCAAAAAAATTAAATCCAATTTTTTGGTGTATATATTTCACTGAAAAAAAGAAAAAAAATATTTTATGACTCCATAGACAGCATTGCAGCACTTTTGGTAGGCTACATTTTGAGCAGGATTACAGTCAGCCAAAAAAAAAAACAATCTCCATCCAAAAATCTACGTTTGCATATCTCCTAACTTTCTGAGATGGAAAAGAGGGAAATTTTTTAGCAAAAAATGTGTAGGCAAATTGTGTGCACACCCCCAGTTACATAGATCCTGAATCTAATAATCAAAAAATGATTAGCTTTAAGCTACAAGTACTTTATTCATCACTGTGTTTTCTTTATACTGGCTTTTATAATTTGATAATAAAAGGGTTTGTGTGAAATGTTTAGTGACTGTTGCCAGCAGCCAGGCCTAGTCAATCCATTCTAAAGGTGCCCATACACCTTACAATTATCTGCAGATTTTCTGTGGTCAGATGGAAAAAGTGCAACAGATTGGCCCAGGTGGAAATTACTCCATCCACACAGTTAAGTTTAGATGGAGGAATCGGTTGCGCCTTTTCCATCTGACCACAGACAATCTGCAGATAATTTTAAGGTGTATTGCCAGCTTAAGGAACAACTGTTGAGCCTCACTGAGGCAGCCATTGCCACAGCTGTTCCTCATTTCAGCGACCTGAGGATCCAAGGCCCCTCAAGACTGTTGCAGTTTCGGTGTTGCGCTTGGGGTGATTAGGGTGTTTAGGCACACCTTGCACACCCTGTGCGCATGCCTATGTTTAAGGATTTTAAAAAAATATGGAATCATGTGTAGCCATTCTAAATAAGCCTGTGTCAAGACTTCCTAAACACTCCTAGAACATTGTGTTATTTATCATTTCAATAGCATGATCCTAGAAGACATTGGCAATTTCCATAGCTGCTACCAAGATACAGCTGACATTATCTTAGCAACCAATAACGCATCCCCAGCCCCATTTATCTGCCGGCTGGGAGATTCCCTGGATGACAGCTGAATTTACAGGGTCAAGAATTCTGAAAGATGCCAGTCAGCATGCCTGACCCTCTTGATTACATTCTGCTGCCAGTGTTCTGCTAGAATCCTGAACCTGTGACGAATCTTGACCCGCACGTCACTTCCGGGGGCATTGGCTGAGCGCAAGCTAAGACCCCTTGAAACAGCTGATCGGGTCCAGCAATCTCACAGGCTATTTGCCTGTATTGCGCATGTGCAGGAAAGCCAGTGGCTCCAGAAAATTCACAGGCGTGCCTGCGGCCACACAACTTGAACATTATAATTTATATATATTTATCTTTATATTATAATCTTGTATTAATTTATTTGGCCGCAGGTGCTTTTTCTGTGAATTTTCTGGACCCACTGGCTTCCCTGCACTTGCACAATACAGGCAAATAGCTTGTGAAAATTCTGGACCCGATCAGCTATTTTGCGCTTGCATGTTCAGCTGACGTTGCCTGCAACTGCTGAGACCGCGTCACCAGAAGTGACGTGATCCAGATTTCTAATTAAGTCCAGCAATCTGTTATAACACCGGCTGAGGAATCTGCATTCAAGTGCCCTTACTATTACTATTATTACTAATAAAAACTTAACTTAAAAATCTTCAGTTATAGATCCTCAAATCAAAATCCTCACCCTCCAGAAGGAAATCCTTCCCTCTCGAGGGTGGCTACTTTTGTTCCCCATGATCCCTGTGTGTATTGTAAAGTATGATGTATACAATTCCACGTTTAATTTGTTAAACCGTACTGAGATTGTAGTCCATCACAGGCGTGAGTTTGGAGTGGTGGCTACTTTACAACACACAGGGACCATGAAGATCAAAAGTAGCCACCCTCCAGAAGGAAGGACAGTGTCAGCACCAATTCAGAGATGATTTGAGGATCTACAGCCGAGTGATACACAAATAAGATACATTTTTGTTAATAGTTAAGGTGCTTGAATGCATTTTTTAGGTTTAACTCCTGAGTTTAGTGTCACTTTAAAACAAGTATTAAAAAAGTGATAGATAATAGTAAAAGTAGCTACCTTGCAGAAGGAAGGACAGTGTCAGGACCAATTCAGAGATGATTTGAGGATCTACAGCTAAGTGATACACAAATAAGATTGTGTTAATAGTTAGGGTACTCGAATACATTTTAAAGGTTTAACTCCTGAGGTTAATATATTTTTAACGTGTATGTAAAGGCATCCCCCCCATTTTTCGTTTAGAATTTGGATAGAGAAGGGGAGTGTAAAGGTGGCCATACACTAGTAGATTTTCGGTTGAAAATGTTCATTTCTGACATGAACCCTCGTTCGATTATAGCTCGAATACCCCATCAAGCATTATTCAAATGTCGATTTCGGAAATCGTTTGTTGGCCATACTAAGCAACCAATTTATGACGAATGACGGAAACAATTTCCTTTTGCGCATGTGCTATGTTCTTGCTGAGTTTTTTGACGAACGAAAACCCCACTGATTCATCGATTTTTATTCGGTCTGAAATTTTTTTTCCAACCTGACCGGTGGAAAAAATTTGTTCCCAATATCGAAAACAAAAATCAGTGACATACCATCAACTGTTTGATTTTCATTCGAAAGACCACGATTTTCGACCGTAAATCTACTTGTGTATGGCAACCTTTAGGCCTGGTTCACACCTGGGCGTTTTGTAGAGTGTTCGAACGCTCTGCAAAACGCTCAAACACAGAAATCTCATTATTTCCTATGGGTATGGTTCACACCTGAGCGTATTAAAGGCCGTATGAACGCGCTACAAAACGTCAAATAAAGAAGTACAGGAGCTTCTTTGGGGCGTTTTTGTCGCGCATTTGCATTGGGATACAGCCAAGTAGCCCTCGGAAATGCGCGTTTGTTGCGCGTCTTTTTACCACGAATCGCGGTTAAAACGCGCGTCACATGCACATATTCGATACGCCTAGGTGTGAACCCAGCCTTAGACCCTCTTCCAGGTTTTTATTGTTGTGTCCCCACTGGTGAGACTCACCTCTCTGTGACACCTATCTCAGGGACAGAAAGGGGAAATCCAAAACGTTAGCTTCATGAGAGCAAGAGGTGATATCTTGCAATGGGGACATTGCTAACCAAATACATAAATTTTACCTATGAACAATACCTTTTTGACTGTGTTTCTGTCCTTATTATGATAAATCCTTCTGCATATACGGTATTTTGAAATCAAATTGTACAATAGGTGAACAATATTCCTCATGTAGAACCATACACATTTTACATGAAAAATAAAAAAGGTGTCCCTGGAAATGTATTTGAAATGTTGACCACTATGTCAGTACAGGCTTCCTTTAACTGAAATACTAGAACATTGCTGTGATCATTGCTACGCATGTTATTGTGTGGATATGCAAACAAGCAAAAACACACCGTGATTGCCTGCCAAGCAAATGTTTGTTACATTCTTCCCGCATGGTCACTGAAAAACTTTCACTTCCCATATATAGGAGAGCTTGACTGACTGACAGCTCAAAGGGATCTGTGACACACAGAGAGGCGTGTACAGTCTTAAACACACACCGTCAACTTAGCCAGAGGCAGCAACGAGACCTTTCAGCCTCGCTGGGTAAAAAAAAACAGCTCTTAGCTTTCAGCTCTGCACATTGCACACAGGAACAGATTTCCTATTCCATAAACCTGATATATTTAACACTTCAACATGAATGGACCAGTAGATGGTTTACATGACCACTCAAAGGAAGATGTTGGAGCTTTCATGTTCACGTCAGAATCTGTGGGAGAAGGACATCCTGGTAAGTTGATAAGTTAAACATAAAAAGAATATAGAAAACACACTTGACTATCAACTGACTAGTGGCAAAATATTATATATGGAAATTACTTTCTAAATTAAAATATACATTTGTTTTTCAGAAGAGAAAAACATAAGAAATGCTAAATGTAAAAGACATCAGACATTCAATATTTTTTATCTCTAACCACATATCAAAATAATATTGTAATAGATTTATTATAGTTTGGTACCTCTTAACAAATTTCTGTTTCACTGTTTTGCTTTAATGTAGTAATATTACCTGTACTGCTTTGGTGTAGCATTGAGCTGATTGGCAAATTACAACCATTTAACTTATGTATTGGAGATGAATGCAGAGGAAGCTCGACGTGTGTACATATATATCTGCTATATCCATAACATATGCATTTTGAGAGCTGTAATTATATTTGACACTTCAGTCCTTGGCTTGATGCCCGGTAATGTCTTCTTCAAACTGCTGTGAATGACATGTGGAATTCCTATGAGCAATTCATCCATGTCACCAGTGTACGCTAATGCCACAAAGACACTGCAGTATTAAGTGTTCAGTTATCCAGATGTACAACAATAAATGCCTGCTTGGGATCATTGAGCAGTTACATATTAAAAGGTGTTTCACTGAAGAATAGTTATTTTAAATTGCCATAAACGGATTGAAATTATATATTTAGCCTTACCAATGTGCGACCTGTTTAGGGGCTTGCACAGCTGGGTTTTTACCTGTTAACCATTTCTTAAAATTGATTCCAGTATTTGCAGTATGCACACATTTCGCAAGCCCCTCCGAATTTCCACATGATATTTGTACCATCACTCAATGCCCCAAGCTTTCTGAAGGCCACCACACCACTCAACCTTTTGATTGAGAGTGATGAGCAACTTTAGTGCTGCACACTGCTAGCTCCTCAATGGCAAATCAGAAGCTAGCAAACTACTCTGTGTGTTTTGCAATACATACATTGCAATACATTGAAATACATGCAACACATACCGTCGCTAGCTCCGTTCCCGATCATCTCCCTGCAGAGAGATCTCAACTGTATTTTCAGTATCCGTCCTGGCTGCGGTGCGTTCAGTATATAGTGGGCAATAGTTCGCTATATACTGAGCTTTGAGTCACGGAAGGAGGTTAGTATATGTCCTCTCGTGACCCTGAAGAGAACTATGGGATAAAAAGGATACCCCATAGTTCTCGTTTAATGCTTTTCTTTATAGGAATCAAAAAGACTGCTACTGCCACTTACAAGAAAATTATAGTGGTTTTCTACACATTTTCTTTCTTCATTTATTAGGAAAAAAATACTAAGACATTTAATATTATGAAGTCCTTTATCCATCCAGTAGGTATAGCGCTAGGCTTCTTGTCACATTGTTCGGATTGAATTATTCTCAGCTGTACTGAAAAAAAGTATTTTTTTTCACAGAACTCATTTATTAAAGCAACACATTTTAGTTTTGTGTTATAGTGCAACCAAATAGCGGCTGTCTGTCTATGTTCTCTCTTTCTGCTGTAACTGAAAGCCCCTCGTTTGTTAGTTAATTTAGCCATTTATCTGTTGCAGAGAGCACTTTTTAAACAGGTGTGAATAATTGAAACTATTATGCAACTGGTTTTGTTAATAAATATGTCCCTAACTTGTGATATAAAATATTTAAAATGAATAAAATATATATTAAATTAATCAAATATAGGATTCAACAGGTTAGCAATAGCAATCAAGGTCATTTAAGAGGTATTGATAAATGACTCCCTTTGAGTAATCAGTGTTGTGACTCATCACTTATTAGATGGGGTAGGTTTATAAAAGACAAACAGGTGCAAAGCAAGCTTCTCTTTTGTCTCTTTAGCTAACCTATAGGGCTCTAGGAAAGCGTTGTCATGTATGATATACCATGTTTAGTATTTGTAAAACAAAGACTGTACAATGTGTATATGCAGTGTAAAAACATTTAAAACAGTCAAAAAATATATAGACAGATCAAACCAATGAATGGCAGCAAAGCCCACAGTAAGCAAGGAGAATGTAATGGAACACACTCCAAAATGTAGTTCCTGTTGATCAAGGAGATTCAACACTAAGACACAAAAAGCAGAGCAAGGGCACAAGCCTTGTGCATTAAAAGGAGATTTACTGATTTACTGGAAAAATGCTTAATAACACTTTCAGGTCAGCACCTTTGTGTCCACTTTTTAAAGGCAACCAGGAGCTATAACAGCAGCAAGAGCCCAATGAACCATGGCAGGGCTATGAAATGGAAGAATTAGTTGTCAGTAACATCCACAGTAGGATTCCCACTTAGGGGATGGAAAAAGCTCTGCATCCTCAGTTTCCTGGATGGCCTTGAGGAAGTAATCCTGTTCCTAGCCTGGGACCGTGCAGGAAACTGACAACACTGAGATATTTTAGTTTCTAAAGTGGGTCTCTCACTGCATGTGTTATGGACAGCTGATTGTTTAATCTTATAGCCTTGCCATTGGCCATGGTTCATTGAGCTCCAGCTGCTGTTGTAATTGTTACTGTTACTGTTACTATTACTGACCTGTAAGAGAAAATACATTTTAAGAAAAAAAAAAAAGAGAGAACCAAAATCATGATAGTTTCCTTTTCAAGGACAGTAGTACATTTTTGTTAACACCACCAAAATTGACCTTCTCACCCTTGTAATTTACCTTGTGTTCACCCCTCCCCCCTTCCACCATCTTTAAATGGTTTCGACCAAGCAAAAGTGAAAACATTAGAAGTGTTATAACACCTTTACCCCCTTACTGTAATGAAAGCAATAGAGCATTTCAAGCCCACCTGTCTTGATCTTAACTTAAGTGTACAGAGTGGGTTCTACTGAAAAGAGTGTTGTGAATAAGTTTCTGACTCTTTTGAAGTACGACCCCAATTCCCAAAAAGTTGAGACGCTGTGTAAAATCTACAAAAACAGAATGCAATGATAAAATGTACCATTTTAAGAAAAAAAATAAGGTAATTTTGAAATTGATGGCAGCAACACGTCTCAAAAAAGTTGGGACAGGGCCATGTTTATCACAGTGTAGTATCTCCTCTTCTTCTAACAACACTCTGGAAACCGAGTAGACCAGTTTCTGGAATTTTGGGAGAGGAATGTTGTCCCATTCTTGCCTGATATAGGATTCTAACTGCTCAACAGTCCTGGGTCTTCTTTGTCATATTTCTAATTTCAAGATACGCCAAATATTTTCAATTATTGAAAGGACTGGACTGCGGGTAGGCCAGTTAATCACCCGGACTCTTCCACTACGAAGCCATCATGTTGTCATAGATGCAGTTTGTGGTTTAGCATTGTCATGCTGAAATATGCAAGACCTTCCCTGAAAATTATGTCATCTGGATGGGAGCAGATGCTGCTCTAAAACCTGGATATATCTTTCAGCATTGATGATGCCTTTCCAGATGTGCAAGCTGCCCATCCCATATGCACTAATGCACCTCCATACCATCAGAGATGCAGGCTATTGAACTGAGTGCTGATAACAAGTAAGAAGGTCCCTCTCCTCTTGGTGCGGGACTCAGGAGAGCTCCCGCCGGCCAGAGGACGTAGCGAGGGAGGTGTGGCCGTGAGGTGGCTGAGGCGGGTCCCAATGTCGAGTGACGAATCCAGCATAGGAAACCTGAGGTGATCCCTGACGAGAATCGGATCTGACACAGAGGACAGAGAGGGAGAGCTGCAGCCTTCAGGTACTATGCTGTGACAATGACAGTCAGTCAGTATATCACTCCCCTTCTTTTCCATCACTTCTGTACTGTAGAAGTGATGGAGAAGAAGGGGAGCGATATACTGATAGTAATATGTGTGACACCTGTGTACCTGCATCCACATCAGTATCTAATCTATTAGTTTTATCTCTATTATTTAAATTATAATCAAAATTATGTGGGGGGATACTCAATGGGGACTGTATGGGCTCAATACTGTTCCAATTGAGCATCCCCCCCACATAATTTTTACTATAATTTAAATAGTAGAGATAAACATATTTTTTAAAACATCTCTAATTGATGATGTTCCTAACCCCCTCCAATATCTCCCCCCACCTGCAAACTACCCCACCTACATCCTTAAGGGCCCAGTCACACCATAAGGAGTGCGTTCCAGTGCGTTCAGCCTCTGGAACGCACTGGAACACAACCCGGCCGGCTCACTTTGTTTTGGAGCGGGAGGGGGCGTGGCAGTGCATTGAAGTCAATGGCACCACAGCCATGCCCCCCACCCACAGTGCGATAGCCATCACCCGAATGCGTGGCACATCAGTGCCTGCATTCTGGTCCAGTGCGATCTGCCAAAATGCTCCATGCACTACTTTTTTGCAGATCCCACTGGACCGGAACACAGTCACTGATGTGTCACGCATTTGGGTGACGGCGATCGTACTGTGGGTGGGACGCATGGCTGCGGTGCCATTGACTTCTGGATAGGCAGAGTCAGCTGTTAATCCCGCAGCTGGATGTATCCCGAGAGAATTGCCAGGATCAGCTTCAGTTGCGGCGTCTCAGTATACCGTGAGCTGTAGCTCGCGGTATACTGAGCTTTGGGTGACGGGAGGACGCTAGTTTGTGTCCTCCCGTTACCCTAAGGAGAACTATGGGGAAAAGCCCTGACCCCATAGTTCTCCTTTAACTACACTGTAAGTTTATTTTTTATGAAGTTGATATTTATGTTAAGTTACATATCTTTGTTTCTTATGTAACTGAAATAAACGGTTTAAATATAATTAATTCTTTGTTATTTATTTCGTTTCCTCAAAAAAACATAGGGGGGGGGGGGGACAATTTTCTGTTCTTGCCTCGAGCGCAAAATAGGTTAGCTACAGCTCTGCCCATGATTACTACTACTAAGAATAGATTAAGGGGAATCTCCTTTATTAATGCTAGCTACCCTTCATGTGTGCAGCAACTTATAGGATTGTATCCCTGACCAGGGGTCTAACCAGGATTGGTGTAAATCATA